GAATGCGATGGAATACATCGCAGATATCAATAGCAATGGTAGCCCCTGGTACACGTCTTCGGTCAAGGGCCGGGTCAGGATCTCCAGGGACAACGGGCAGAGCTCGGTGACGCTGACCATGAACAACCTCAAGGACGAGGATTCTGCCGTCTATTTCTGTGCCAAATCTTATAACACTGGTGCTAGTCCTGCTGGTATTGGTCACAGTGCCACCACTGTCTTGGAGTCCCCCCAGTCCCCAGAGCCCAGACCCTTCCCCCAGAGCCCAGCCCCAGCCCCAGCTCTTGACCATTGATCCCAGCCTGGCACTGCCTTGGCCCCAATTCTCACCCGCTGACCCCAAACCACAACTCCTGACCCCAAATCTCCACTTTCTTCCCCAAAATCTTGCTCTGAAGGCTGGGATTTAAGGTTAAGGGTCCAGATTTGGGGACAAAGGTCGAGTATTGTGGGACGGTTCTGGGGAAACAGTCCTTGTGTAAGGGAAAGGCCGAGATTAAGGAAAAATGTTCAAACATGGGGAGAAACTCCCATTGGGAAGCGGTGAGAGAGTTTTGGGAACATGGCCGAGATTTGAGGGCAGTGGAATTTGGGGGCCAAGGCTGAGCTGAGGGTGAAAGCGGCCCTGATTTGGGGCCAGGAGCTGAGATTTGGGGCCAGAGCAGAGCCAGGGTGGGACAGAGGGTCAGGAATGGGGTCAGGGGCTGCAGGGAAGGGTCTGGGGCACGGGGACAGGGGGAACATGGTGACAGCGATGGGACCAAAACCATCAACACCAGCACCAGTAGCCCAATTATTATAAGCACATTTGGCGCAGAAATAGGATCCGGAATCCTCGTCCCTGAGGCTGTTCATGGTCAGCGTCACCGAGCTCTGCCCGTTGTCCCTGGAGATCCTGACCCGGCCCTGCACTGACAGAGCATACGTGGAGCTGCCACCATCATTCCTGATTCCTGCGATCCACTCCAGCCCCTGCCCGGGTCTCTGGCGGACCCAGCACATGGTGAAACTCCCGAAATCGAACCCGGAGCCTCGGCGTCACTCCATGTTCTGGATGCGCCAGAGACCCGGGCAGACCCTGGAGTGGCTGGCGGGGATCAGGACTGATGGTGGCACCGGGTACGCTGATTCAGTCAAGGGCCGGTTCAGGATCTCCAGGGACAACGGGCAGAGCTCGGTGACGCTGACCATGAACAGCCTCAAGGACGAGGATTCCGGATCCTATTTCTGCGCCAGATGCGTTGATTCTGGTTGTTATCTTGGTAATGCTGCTGCTGCTGCTGGTTTTGCTCCTGAGCCGCCACCGCTTTGCTCTCAAATCTCCCACAATTTTCTGATCCTTCCCCAAAATCCCATCCATTGTCGCCAAATCTTGGCCATTTTTGCTCAAAGTCCATCACCGTTGCCCCAACGCTTGACTTTACCATTATTTTCAGAATTTAGCCCAAATCTCCCTCATCTCCCCAGGCCCTGATTGGCCGAGCTGGACATGAAGAACCTCCAGGACGAGGATTCCGGATCCTATTTCTGTGCCAAAGAGTCTGGTGCTTACATCGCTGATGGAGCTCTGGAATCCGTTGGCCTCAGCCCTGTCCCCGTGTCCCCACCTGTCCCCATTCCACAGATCCTTCCCCGCAACAGCTGACAGACAAAACTCGTCAAGATTTGGAGTCACGTGTAAAGAAAATGCCAAGACCTGGGCCAAGAATGAGGGAATTTGGGGGAAAATGACCAAGACTGGAAGAAAATAGCTGGGAATTGGGGGAAGAATGGCTGAGATTGGAGACATTTGGGGACTATCATGGAGGTGGGGCCAGAATTGTCGCCAAAATCATAAGCATCAGCAAGAGCAGAACCATCATAACGTCTGGCACAGAAATAGACGGCGGAATCCTCGTCCTTGAGGTTGTTCATGGTCAGCGTCACCGAGCTCTGCCCGTTGTCCCTGGAGATCGTGAACCGGCCCTGCACCGACGGCGCGTAGAGAGTGCTGGCACCATCGTACCTGATCCCTGCGAGCCACTCCAGCGCCTGCCCGGGTCTCTGGCGGATCCAGAGCATGTGGTAACTCCCGAAATTGAACCCGGAGCCTCGGCAGAGGAGGCGCAGGGACCCCCCGGGGGGCTGGAGGTCCCCCCCGGACTCCAGCAGGGTCACGGCCGCCCGGAGCCCTGCAGGGAAAAGGGGAGATGGGGATGAGGGATGGATTGGCTGTAGGGCCCTAAGTGGGTGTGACCAGTTCGAAAAATGTGCTGAACCCACCGGGGCTGGTCACCAGGGTCAGGAGGATGACAAGAAACTGGCACAATTTGGGGCCAGGAGTCAGGATTTGGGTCAATGTTTGAGCTGTTCCCATCCCCATCTCCCCTTTTCCCTGCAGGGCTCCGGGCGGCCGTGACCCTGCTGGAGTCCGGGGGGGACCTCCAGCCCCCCGGGGGGTCCCTGCGCCTCCTCTGCCGAGGCTCCGGGTTCAGTTTTGGCAGTTTTGGGATGGGCTGGATGCGCCAGAGACCCGGGCAGGGGCTGGAATGGGTCGCGAGTATCCACAGCAATGGTGCCACCGACTACGCGGATTCAGTCAAGGGCCGGTTCAGGATCTGCAGGGACAACGGGCAGAGCTCGGTGACGCTGACCATGAACAACCTCCAGGACGAGGATTCCGGATCCTATTTCTGCGGGAAGTGTTCTGGTGCTGGTTATCCCAATGCTTATGATATTCCCACCCCCATGGCTGGGGCCCCTCCTGTCCCCCCTCCCCAGGTCCTCCCTTCAAAGCTCCGCCCTTGAGCCAATCCTCCGGGTTTTGTCTCAGTCCCCAATTCCACGTCTCTAAATTCACGGAATGCACAGAATTTACAGAATTTGCTGAATTCACAGAATCCACAAAATTCACAGAAATCGCAGAATTCACAAAATTCCCAGAATTCACCTGGCCCCAGTGCCAGGACACGAGATCTGGGGCCAGGAGATGAGATTTGGGGCCAGGAGAGGAGATTTGGGGCCAGGAGATGAGATTTG